GGGGCACGGTCCCGCCCGCGCTCTCCCAGCTGCGAACAAAGAAGCAGCTGCCGGGCTGGGCTGGGGCGGTCCCGAGCGCGGAGGCTGGTTGCGTCCCCGGCGTGTGCATCCCCGGTCCTCCTACCTGGTGCGCCGGGGTCACCGGTGCGTCTGGTCTCCGCTTGCAGATACCCAGCGAGCCCTGCGCCTCCTGGAGGAATACCGCTCCAAACTGAGCCAGGCGGAGGACCGGCAGCTGCGAAACTCCATAGAGCGCGTCATCAGCATCTTCCAAAGCAACCTTTTCCAGGCTTTGATAGGTAAAGGCTGACTTCTCTCACTTTGCGTTCAAGCCGGTCGGTTCTTGCTTATGCTGTGTTAAGAAAAGCTAATTTGCCCTTACGATAGAAGCCATGTGCTTTTTGTCATTGTGTTTTTGTTTTGCATAGTAACACACGTGCTGTTACAGATCAACAGTTCACTTGTTTCATATACTTACTTTATTTGAGGTTTTTGACTGGCCCAAACTGCTTCAAGCTGTGGTGCAGTTTTTTCTTCTGTGACATGTTATTGTAGATTACTTTACGTAGACTGTTTTTCCACATATCTTTATTCACCTGAACAATTTCTAAAGAGTAATTTTTTTTTTGTGAGTCCATATGTAGCAGGTTAATGAATGAGTTGAAATGGTTTTAATCTAAGGTACGATTCAGGCAAATCTTCCTGCTGAAGAATCTCTAAAAACATCACAAAGTATATATCTGAAGTGCAGAGTTAACTTAAAGTAAATGAGAAGAAATCTCTAATGCTTCAGGGAATACTACAGTGATCTTTTCTGCTTTGTTTGTTGCACATTAAAGTGTAGCGAAAACACTACTAATTCTTAGTTTAGAGTATTTGTAGTGCTTCAATTAAAATGTTCCCATAAATCTTGTTGAACTACTTACATGTAACTTTGAATTTTCTGCATGTCTGTCTGGAAAAAAAATTGAGCATAAATACAACCTGCAGAATCCTGACTTTATTTGGAAACTAATGCAGGGAAGCAGTGAGATGTGGTTTCTCCTTGATTGATTGTCACTATCTTTATGCCAACTAATGAATGAAAGGGTTTTGTTGGTTTACCTACAAGAGTAAAATTTCTAAAGTTCTGCATCCTTGTCTTTTAACTAAGTAACCTATGTCTGAATTGTACTAATAACAAACACTGTAGCTAAATTTGTTATTTGGCTTACTGCATGGTTAGTGTCACAGAGGTGTACATCTTACTTCATAGTACCGCAGCTTTTTTGAATCTATATTGTGGTGGAAACACAAGGACAGGCAAAGCATAAACAAGCATTGCTGCATGTGGAATGTTTTCTTCTGGAGTATTTACGTAGGTTTTCAGAAGATAGTAATCTTGTTCTGGTTTTTTTTTTTTAATCATGTAAGTTCATGAAAGGTAGTTGTGAAAATAGGTCAGTTACAGAAATCTTTTACTTACAGGAACTCTGCATTTCTCTGCAATACTCAGTTGATGCTAACCAACTCCATGATGAAAAGCTAGACGTAATCTTTGTGGGACATGTATGAACAGGATTCACTCATTTGTGGATCAGAATGTTGAAGTCTTATGTCAGACGCTTAATGTACTGCAGTTGCGTTTTTTATTTTCACCTGGTGAATTTCAGTGTTGACTACCATTTTTCTTGTTCTGGGTGTGTGTATGTGTGTGTTGAAGATCCATGCAGTACTCCGTTTTCTCCCCTTCATTGAATAAGACAGCGATCTATTAGCCTTTGATATTCTAACCTGCAAGACATAGTTTCTTCTCATATCTGCATACGGATCTTCACTGTTTTAATAACTCTACACCTAGTAATAGTAAACTTGAAACAGCAGGCAACCTCATGTCCGCTGGCTTCGTTCTGCAAGAGCAGAAAACAGGAATGTGTTGTTGCCTGGGTGGGCTGCATGGCCTGTTTTCTAGTCTTGTAAGAAGTTGTACATTGCAACCATATGATCCTAGTTTTTGTCAAGTTCAATTCATCTGTGCGTGCACAATAGGTGTCTTGTTTCTTGGGTGTGTTGCATTAACTTTGCATTTACTGGTTCACTGTATGATTATTTATTACAGAGTATATGCGTATGTTCCCAAACTATTTGTCTGAAAGGTGGTAACACAGAAGGCTAGTACTTTCCAAGCAATTTAAGCTGTCGACTTGAGTCTTTCTCCTTTCACCTGCTCCTTTTCATGGAAGTACGTCAGGGGAGTTCTTGTTCGTGGCAGGCTGCTCCTGGCTTTTGTTTTCCTGGAAACATCTTTTTATGGTGTGACGACTGCATGATGGGGTTAAAGAGTGGGGGGGACTCCCTGGAAAAGATGCTATCTGGAAGATGGCTGCAGTTACTGGGAAGACCTTGAGTCTGCTCCTGCCTGTCCTCTTTCCCTGAAGATTTGGGAGCAGGCTGGATGAAGTAGTCAGTTGTGCTGCAGGTTCACATTACTTTATAGCAGATTTTTAAGCGTGCCTTTTAGAGGAGTTGTGATGTGTCCCCAACTTAAATAGCCTTTGCTGTTCTGCCAGAAAGTTTCAAGCTCAACTACCAAGTTATTTCTCATATAGATACTTCTTCCAGAAAGCGTGCTACTTTTAGTTTCTGTTTGGGTTTTTTTTTAAATAATACTAAAAAAGAAAAAAAACTTCATCCATTTATTTTCTGCTTTTTCTGCCAAGTTACTGCACTATATCCAAGACCTGCCTGTCCATGATAGGTGAGAATATTTGTGAAGGCTGCAGTCAGGATCTGCTGTCAACTTCATGTATCTCTTTTAGTATAATTTTTAACTTGGCAATCAAATGCTGTTCTTTCAAGCAAAAAATAGACATTATGCACAGAAATGTATCTTTAGGTTTATAATGGGGGAAATTAAATATTGCTGAAAACTACACATTTTATCAATTTTTCATATATTTAGATACACATGAAGGAATTAAAGGTTGGGTTTTTTTGGTGAATTTCCATTTGGATGCTGAAGAATAAATGGTATTATTTTCTCATTTGAGCCTTTTTTTATGTTGTCCTCTCCTTTTAATTCTATCAATAAAACTGTAGTTCAGCAATCTATAAACTTGACCTGGTTCTTAAATATTATGGCTTTAAATGATTTGAATTAGAGCGGTAACTAGTCAGTGTGAACAACCAGTGTTATGAAACTGGCATTATTGCAACAGTGTTGTATTTTAAGTGAAATAACTGTAAGAACTTAAAATTAGTAACAAAATTGGTAACCAAATGTGACCTCCTTAGAACAGTCTGTGAAAAGCCCATTTTTTAATTTTCTATTTCTTCTGTAATATGGTATTTCACATTGCTGTTGCTTCAACCAGCCAAGTATAGTGATGTCTAGTACTTTAAATGGATACCAATTGCCTGTAATTAAAATCAGCTTGAGAATAGTGTTGGTTTTAAGTAAATTTCTTACTGTACAGTCTCAGAATTGTGTGGTATCTTTTCTAGCTTGTGATTTCTTGGTTGTAGTTAAAATAGCTTGTTATTGATATCCTGAGAATTGGTAAGGTGTGTCACTTTATTAAGAGACCAAAGTAAGATATCCACATATGGAGGCATGGGATAGACTTAATTTCACTTTGTTAAAGAATTTTATATTTATCTTCAAATAGCGAGGTAATAATTCTGCAGATAAGTTCTGCTTCTAATTTAGGCACTTTTTTACCTTCTTGAGAAGGTGCGGGTTCTTATAGAGGTACAGATATGATGTATTTATCTTTTTGAAAATATAAGAGGAGGAACACTTGCATGCATAAGTCTTAACGCTTCTGAGGGAAAAACATGTGAAGCAGACTTCTGTTTATACACAGAATGTTTCTGTGTAATTAATACAATTTTAAAATGTCAACCATATTGAAATAGTTCTTCTAAAATTAAAAATATTACTAGTTGTAGCTAGAAACATGAAGTAGTTTACTACTTTAAAAATATTCCTTTTCCTGACAATAACTAACTCCATTTGCACAGGTGTCAGAAAAAGGGTATTTGAAAAGAGACTCTACATACCCTGGCAATGAGTTGGCTGTGCTGCCTTTCTTGTCTTCGTTCTTGCCTTGTCCGTCTTAAGTGGTTTTTTTTGTTTTTTATATGTTATTTTATAGCTACGTGTATAAAGACTTTTTGGTATAAAATGGCAAATTTGACTAGGGGAGGTTGATGTGTAAGCTGTCTAATTTATTTCACTTGGAGTCCTTTTGCATGAAGGTCTGCCTTGAGAATTGTGCTTACGCGTTGGCTATTCCTAACACTAAATATCCAGTGTGGGAAATTTTGAAGAAAAAAAATGTAGTGGTTTCAGTAATCCTTACTGAACCAAAGAACAGCTCCCCCCGCTAATCATTAAAGTTTTTTAACCATTGGTTGGATTCATGAGCTTTATGAATTGCACAGAATATATTAAAAATACTGTTAATATGTTATTACACACCAGAGAAAGAAGTCCTGTCTCTGAAATTTTTGTAAAATTGATGGTTGCATTAAGATAAACTCTTTGTTCAGATTTATCAGCAGTCTGACCGGGGCTGAAACTTCTGGGAGTACTCTGCGTGTTTCTCAGCTCTGTCCACACTGGCTTTCTGAACTGAATTAGGGAAACAACCCTAGATCTTAGACTGAATTAGGCTGGATTGGGTCAGCACTCCTCAAAGTTAGTACCCTTCGGAATGGATTGACCACATTTCTTCTAGATGGCATGCGGCCCTAGTTCTCTGAGCTGTGTGTGGCATCTCTGTAGATATTCTTGTGTTTTTAGCTCCCTCTCAATTATCCAGCATGGAAGTATTTTCTGTCCTTGCCTGCTAAATTAAAATCAAACACAGTTAAAGCAGAAGCTCTTCTTCATAACTGAAAGCAAAAGTACTTGCTCTCAGGGAAACTTCAGTATCAGCTTTTATTTCAGTGATATAGTTAGCTAATAGAGCATATGGCATGATGACACAGTTAACTTTTCAAATCAGCTCAGGCCCCAGAATTTTAGTTGTGGGTATGTGTCATTGTGTAAGACTGCTCTTCAGTTAACTTGAGGAAGGCTACTTTGTGAACTGCTTCCCATTTTCTAAATGTTACTGAAGCCCTAGTACCAGTTCTTCAGACTCAGCTGAATAATATTTATATTAAGAATCCAGAAATTCTTGGCAGTTAAGTTGAGGGACTGGTTAGATAGTGAATATTGTTTTGTTTTCTCTTTTATTAGAGGAAAGTTCAGAGAGAATTGGATCTTCTGTTATATCGGATACTACTGAAATTGTTGTAGATGCTAAATAGG